CCAATTTGAGAAATATGAGGATTACTGTAGTTTTTAGATTCCTTTTTTCAATTTGAGAAATATGAGGATTACTGTAGTTTTTAGATTCCTTTTTTCAATTTGAGAAATATGAGGATTACTGTAGTTTTTAGATTCATTTTTTCGATTTGAGAAATATGAGGATTACTGTAGTTTTTAGATTCATTTTTTCGATTTGAGAAATATGAGGATTACTGTAGTTTTTAGATTCATTTTTTCGATTTGAGAAATATGAGGATTACTGTAGTTTTTAGATTCCTTTTTTCAATTTGAGAAATATGAGGATTACTGTAGTTTTTAGATTCATTTTTTCGATTTGAGAAATATGAGGATTACTGTAGTTTTTAGATTCATTTTTTCGATTTGAGAAATATGAGGATTACTGTAGTTTTTAGATTCCTTTTTTCAATTTGAGAAATATGAGGATTACTGTAGTTTTTAGATTCCTTTTTTCAATTTGAGAAATATGAGGATTACTGTAGTTTTTAGATTCCTTTTTTCAATTTGAGAAATATGAGGATTACTGTAGTTTTTAGATTCATTTTTTCGATTTGAGAAATATGAGGATTACTGTAGTTTTTAGATTCCTTTTTTCAATTTGAGAAATATGAGGATTACTGTAGTTTTTAGATTCCTTTTTTCAATTTGAGAAATATGAGGATTACTGTAGTTTTTAGATTCCTTTTTTCAATTTGAGAAATATGAGGATTACTGTAGTTTTTAGATTCCTTTTTTCAATTTGAGAAATATGAGGATTACTGTAGTTTTTAGATTCATTTTTTCGATTTGAGAAATATGAGGATTACTGTAGTTTTTAGATTCATTTTTTCGATTTGAGAAATATGACGATTACTGTAGTTTTTAGATTCCTTTTTTCGATTTGAGAAATATGAGGATTACTGTAGTTTTTAGATTCATTTTTTCGATTTGAGAAATATGAGGATTACTGTAGTTTTTAGATTCCTTTTTTCAATTTGAGAAATATGAGGATTACTGTAGTTTTTAGATTCATTTTTTCGATTTGAGAAATATGAGGATTACTGTAGTTTTTAGATTCCTTTTTTCAATTTGAGAAATATGAGGATTACTGTAGTTTTCAGATTCCTTTTTTCGATTTGAGAAATATGAGGATTACTGTAGTTTTTAGATTCATTTTTTCGATTTGAGAAATATGAGGATTACTGTAGTTTTTAGATTCCTTTTTTCAATTTGAGAAATATGAGGATTACTGTAGTTTTTAGATTCATTTTTTCGATTTGAGAAATATGAGGATTACTGTAGTTTTTAGATTCATTTTTTCGATTTGAGAAATATGAGGATTACTGTAGTTTTTAGATTCATTTTTTCGATTTGAGAAATATGAGGATTACTGTAGTTTTTAGATCTCTTCTGCCCCTATTCTGTCATTGAAGTCCCCATCCAGCCCAATTGACCATCTTCAATACGAATGGAACGCCGTCTAATTGAACTACTCACACCAGTCTGGTACTGGTTCAAACGTGCCTTCAAGTTCTACACCAATCTTCGCCCATTTGAATATACTCATTTTTCGTTTTGTCACAGTTTTCTATTCACAGCGTGTTTATTTGAACCGCTGTTTCGTAAAACAAAACATGCAGAGTTTCTTCCTTTCAATCGTATCTTTTTAATTATTTTTGTAGTAGGTTTATGCTTAGAAAAATTTATAATAAGCACAAAGCCAAAGGCTCAATGTTTGAACCATGTGATTTTTGGACTTTTCGGAATGATAATTTCGGTTTGGACATTGGTTGGATGTATAATTGCAAGACAGTTTAGTTTGGTCCGTAGTTCATTAATACTATGGGCATAATTAACAAATACTTATAATTTCAGATTGTTGGTTTACTTTACATTCTGGCTCTTTGTTTCTTCCTCGCATCCTATTCAATGTTTAGCAATGTGTCAACGGATCTTTATTTGGTACTTCCTCTCGAGAATCACCCGTTTTTTGGGATAAAAACAAATGTCGTCTTGCTTGGTTTGTTTTATTTGGCAGTTTCCATTGTCACATTCCTTCTAACGGTAAGTTTTTGATTTTCAATCAAAATCGCGTCTCTGCCTGCTTTTTCCTGTCCGCACAAGTTTTGAAAATCTTGAGTACAGAGCACATATTGACGTGACCATTTAACAAAGGGAAATCAGAAGGCGAGGAGAGGTGCGATAAACCAGAAAAAATAGTTCAAATCGCGCTGAAGGAGCACCAGCCAGCTGATTGAAACCCCAGAGGCGGGGCAAAGAAACTGGTAGTAAAGATCATCCTTATATATAAAACGCTACACGCGTCTGTCCGTCCCGTCGTCAGGCTGTGGATCTTTGAAAAGCTTGAAAATTAAATACAGAACCACGTGACCGTTTAAGATAAATTGAGGAGCGGAGCCACGAACCAGTAAAAAACAAGATTTAATCGCGCCGAAGGCGCACCAGCTTGCTGGTAAATAAATAAATAGCAAATTTTTTTTATTCGAATTTTCGAATTTCTGATTTTGAAAAGTTGCAAATTTCTGATTTTAAAAATATTGAACGCCTGATCTTTTCGCATTTCTGAATTCCGGAAACGATTTCTCGATTGGGATGATTTTTGGAATTTCCAACGCTGAAAAACGATTGTCTACAAAGTTGTCAAAAAAAAACTTTTCCTCGGGAGGCACAAGTGGGTTAGAAGAAATGTGTTAGAAGAAAGAAGAAAGTCAGAAGAAACAGTGACAACGTTTTTTGAACTAGAGTTCGAAAAAATTTCAGATAACACAAGTGTCGCCAAAAGAAGTTATTCTTCTTCATATGTTTTTTCAGTCATAGTTTTTAACTTTATAGTGACATTCTGAAAATTAATTCGTGTTTTTGGAAATTTGTGCTCTCCTCTCCCGAAAAGTTCAGTTTGGAGTTTTTTTTAGTTTGTCTTCGATCTCTAAATTTCAAAAATTGATTTCTAACTATCATTTTTCGACAATGTATCAAGAGTTAGTATTTTTGAAATAATTTGTCCTTTTGAAAAATCAGAATTTTTTGATTTTCTATTTTTTGAATTAGAATTTATGAATTTTAAATTTGATCTCTCTGTAATCCAGTCGGAAAAACTTTGCAGGGCTAACATGGAATGACTCCCAAGTGTTGCCCTCAAAAAAAAAACCGGGCGTATATAGTTGTAAACAGAGTAAGGTTCAGTTTATTGTCTAACAATTGTTTATTGAATTTCATTAAATTGACCTAAAATGGTATAATTATAATTTTTGAGAATAAAACGTTTTGCCATTCCCTTGGTATGTTTGGGCCATAACTCCCCAAAACATTTCTAATCATCTATTAATCTAACAGTAAAATAACTTTTCTTTGTTTTTAGAAATCCGCCGATTAAAGGTGCTAGCGATGAGAAAGTGCCGCAGCTAGTTTAATCAAATGAAAGTATGATATGTGCCTTTTTCGAAACCATTAATTTTGCAAACAACGGGTTCTTATATGATTCTTGTTCCAACTTTTCAGGAAAAGTGGCCATTATGTTGTCTTCTACTCTTCTCCTCTTTTTTTTCTCGATTGATGCATGGTCCTGTTTCTTCACAAAGTCATATTTTCTCTGTGAACATCAAAGACACGAATCTGATCTGCTAAGAACCAATCGGACACCAAACGGACCAATCGGTAGAATCATTTGCCACGTGATAGTCAGAAGAAATTCAAGAAAAATGAAAAATTCGATGAAACTTCCATCCCCTCTAAATCGCGTCAGTCGAACGACTGTGGACCAGATTGGCTTCCAATTCGATGATATGCTGGATATCCGCAAATTACAGTATAGAGAACCGGAGTATTTGTAAATTGACTGTTTATGTTCAATTAATAATATTTGTATTTGAATAAACAATGAAAAAAAATCGGTAACTCTTAACTTACGAATAATTTTTCATGGGCCCCTTCTTCTTGGGCCCCTTCTTTCTTGCCCCTCCTTTTTCTCATGAGCTCGGCATCACTACAGCATTTCTGGGTTAAAAAAGTTAACCAATTTCGAATAGCCTTACTATCACATTCCAGAGCAGTGACATTGATAATTGAATTGTATGCTAATAATCCACAGTAGCTAAAACAATGTCTTCTTAAAAATATTATAATTGATCAATGGAACAATTAAAGAAAACTAAAAGCATTTGAGATCTATTCGGCCAGTATTTCAGTTTTAAAAACACGATACCTAAATCTGATAACTATAATAAACATGATGAATTGAACACGATTTTTTTGGGTTTTAATCGTGATTTGAAAACTGAGACACTTTGAAACGAGTCATATCGAAAAAGGTCATTTCGAAACAGTGGTAATACAGGAAAATAGATGAATTTTTTCATAACTTTTTTCTGAAATTCATCCATGCGCCTGTATTATCACAGTTTCGAAGTGTCTCGGTTTCGAAGTGGCACGGAGCCGCTTATTTGACTACTGAACTATCTTCTGCAGCTCAACTAATTTCGATGTCAGAAAGGTAGAAAGAATGCAGAGTATCCGTATGATTCCACAAAACTCCAAAAAGAACTTTAACGAGTTGTTGATGCCTATAGACATTGCTAATGGATTCGGTGGACGAGAAGTTCCAAAGTCTGAATGATAATTTTTGGAGTTTTTTTGTTATGTTTTTGTTGTTGTTTTCGATTTTGTTCTATTCTAATACAACGAATTTTATGACAAACTCCTATCATAATAAAACTATCAAGGTCATGAAAGAAGAGATCTATCGGCATGATAACACTCGGATGAATGGATCATTCTAGAAATTTAGTATAGTGGCAACAGCAACATGTACTATTATTTTCTGATTATCATCTCTCTATTATTCCAACAAGCCGAATGCTCTGGTTATCTAGACTTATCATTTAAAAGTGACTTCAATCTAAAAGCATTCGTCAATGTGTCCAGGGACACCACTCCATTGCTCATCCCATTTTTCATCTCACCCAACAAAACTGAATGGCTCCCAAAGATTCCAATTAGATTTGACGAAAAAGTCAGCCTCACGATTTTGGTGATCAATCATGATAGGCCAGACATTGACAACTCAACACTGACAACTTCTTTCGATCCGAAACAAGGGATTCTGTCTCCCCTGACAGTGATGTTCCCATTCAGTGGAATCAAAATCAATGTTGGATGTGATGAGTGAGTTTGGTTTTTTTTTCGTAAAACCTCTAATAGAAGGGCCCCCACACTGCCAAGTTTGAGCTCAATTATTTCTATTTCTATGCAAGATAATAAAAAAGTGTCCACTGATAAAATATTTTCCGTAGTATTATCTAAATTTTATCTGTTGACAACTTTTTGTCATTTTTCACAAGGACCGAGATATATTGGCTCAAAGTTAGGGACCCTTCTATCGGACCGCAGTCGGCCCTGTATCCCTGATCTGTCCTTCATGAGTTCAACTCCGAGGTTCTCTAGTAAGCTAAATATCTAGAAAACGTTATTCTATGAGTTCCCTACTTCAAGATTTTCGATATATACATTTTCTAGCAAATGGTACGGTGAGAAATGTGACGTCTTCTGTTGTTCGGAGACAGCTTCAAGAGTTGGAAAAGTGTGCAACTCTTTCGGACAACTTGGTTGCCCAAATGGAAAACGAGGTCTGGATTGTGGGCAAGAGATCAGCAAGAAGTGGTGTAAATGCAAAAACAATGGGGCCTGTGTCTCTTCGTTTGGAAAGAATCTTCGAGAGAAAATGCAATGTTCGTGTAAGATTGGATTCACCGGAGTTCATTGTGAGAAGGAGATGGAGAGCATTGAGATGATGTCCACGTATGGTGTGGATCCGAAGAAGTTCGATATTGGAACTGCGAAGATGTTGTATGATAGTGTGATGGATAACGAGTTTAGTGAAGTGTCCCGACCACATTCCAGTCATTTACTTCATAATTTGAGAATCAATGATGCCTAATTTAATTGAATAAAACTTTATTGTTCCAACTTTTTAAATGTGTCAGAGTACAGATGTATAGTACCGGTCAACGTCGACTTTGACCAGTTTCAGGTTTTCGATCACTTCGGAAATTTTGGAGGGTGTAAAACAGACCTAGATTGAAATTTTTGCATTCACATAATTGTTTGAAAATTCTTAGTTTTTCAGCTATTCGTCTTTTTTTTACACCTGTTTTTTCATGTTTTCAGTACGAAAAGGGCTTTTCGGCAAATATCAGAAAAACTAAGAATTTTCATTAAATTCTGTACATGCAGTGTTTTTAATCTAGGTTTGTTTTACACTCTTGAAACTTTTCAAACTGATCGGAATCTTGAAAGCGGGTTTCCAGACTTCTAAAAATGTCAAAAATCAACTGAAAAATACATTTTTGTATATCTTATCGACAGGTATTGTACATAAGGACTCTACTTAACCAACCATGCCAAATAGATAAGGTAGGAAACATTTTTCTTTTTTTCTCACATTTCTCCTCTATTTAACTATAGAAATAAACATTTTCTCTTTGCCTTCCGCGACAAATCGTTCTATTGATTTATATAGAAACAACCCATGATGAAATTCTTTAAACCTTGTCTTGTATGCAATTCTCCAGGAAACGGACTTCATTTTGGAATAGAAGCATGCAGGTGGACTCTAAACTAAACTTGTAATAGAAGGACTCCCATACTGTCAAGTTGGAGCTCTATAATCTCAATTTCTTCAAGAGATATCAAAAAGCGGATAACTAACAATATGTTTTTGATATTATGATGAACAATTCATTAACTGACTACTTTTTCATATCTCTCTGACAGAAACCAAGATAGGGGACCCTTATATTACAGGTTTTACGGCATTTAAGACAATTTCAATTTCAGAGGATGCACTTCATTTTTCCGAAGAACTGTGGTCCAAGACAAAACCTATGATTGCAATGGGGATGAGTCTTGTGAAATTGGAAATATTCATATAGCAATGTCCCAAAAATGCAGAAAGTGTCGGTTTTCAAAGTGTCTAGAAGCTGGAATGAGAAGTGAAGCTGTTCAAAAGCATCGTGATTCCTATGGAAGCAGAAAGGATCTTATTGTGGCCCCATCATCTAGTAACCGACTCAAGTTTCCAGTACCTTATATGCTTCTAGAACCTGTTAGGAACAACTACACACATTTAGAATGTGTCAGACAAGTAGTGCATCTTGAGGAAGGAGAAAGTGTGTTTTTGGTATTACTTGAAAATAATGTTAGAAAATAAAACAAGAGTTTTTTCAGAAAAAAACTCCAAAACGACACACATTCAAAGACACCAATAAACTGATGCATAAGGAGTTTGAAATCGTCACCGACTGGATTTTAAACTCGTTTCAACAACTGGCGGATTTCCCCTCTGATCAAAAGGACATACTGCTCCGACACTTTTACATGCAATTTTTTATACTGGAAGGTGGATTTATTGCATGTAAAAAGGGTCGAAATGATGTCTGGTTTCTTCCAAATGGAGATTATATCGATTGCCAGAATCTTGCCACTTTTTATACAGATCCAAATAATCCACAACCGATTGCTTCTGAGAATTCTGCAATGTAGGTTTTGGACCCACAGCTCATCAAATTTTGAGTTTCAGGATGTTCAAAGGATCTTGTACGGGGTGTAGAAGAATGGTAACTTGTCCGATGTTGAGGGAACAAATCGATCAATTCGAGTTTCTCGCATTAGCAGCGTTGTTGCTATTTGAAACAGGTACAACTCGTTTTGAAGTCGTTTTAGAACAAATTTAAAATGATTCCAGGTCTTGATGGACAATCAAAAGAATGCGCTGACATATGTAGAAAAGTTAGAAGCTCAGTACAACGAGAGCTACTACAGTACTACGATTCCACAAGGGAATCAAATGAGTACCCGCTTCGAATGGGTAGCTTACTATCGATTCTTCCAAGCTTACAAGTAAATTTTTATTTATTTTCTTCTCACACCAGGAACTTTATTTTCTTCAGAGAGCTACGTACAAAATGCTAGATGATATGGAGCTGATTCACTTGTTAAACAACTCTCCGGAAGGCGATTCTTTCTATAAACTTTTTTCGGATCAACGTTGTCATTTATAAAATCTTGTTCACAGAAAACCTGCTCTTTGTTTTGCGCCCTCTATTTTGTATCTTGTAGTCTAGCCAGGAGCTGGCAAACACAGAAAAATTTCGAAAGACATTCAGTTATGAGTTCCGAATGCCAAGTTTGCGATGTTTCATCCAGTGGGACCCATTTTGGAGTTGATGTCTGCAGGTACGTCTAAACCTGTAATAGAAGAGGCCCCCTAACTTTGAATCAATTTATCTCAATTCCTATGCCAGATATCAAAAAATAGTCAACTGACAAAACACTTCTGGTGTTGTCATAAACAATCTATCAGTTGACACAAACTTGATATCTGTCACGGGAAACGAGATAATTGAGCTCAAAGGAACCTCTATTACAGGTTTAACGTTTAACATCGGGTTTCAGAGCTTGTTCCGCATTTTTTCGACGTTCCATTCTTAGGAGAAAAGTATACAAGTGCAAAGGAAAAGGATTTTGTAAAATTAGATCAGGTGAAAATACAGGCTCCTAGAAGAATTGTTCAAAAACTATCAAGAAATACCGTAAACACTCTGATAGAATTCCACTCGGACCGTCCACTTCAAGCTTATATATCTCACTTTTTTTGAAATGTATCAAAAAGTTGTCAACTAATAAAATGTTTATCATGATATCAGCAACATTTTATTAGTTAATCACTTATTGATATCTTTTGCAGAAAATGAGATACATGGATTCAAATTTGACTATTCGGATGGCGTTCTATTAGAGTGTATACGGTATTTGTGATTTGACAAAAAAAAATCATTTTCCAATCCAATTATTTTCAAATCATCACATTTTTCATCACCACACCTGCGTAGTTTTTATCATCATTATGTCTCTCTAAACCCTCTGTTCTTCTCTCATTCCATACCGAATCTGTATTTTGTAGTCTCCTCTGTCAGGTCACTTTTGTAACAGCACAAATATTTTCTCGTTTTCCCCATTCCCGTTCTGTTCGAAATGACCAAATTATGTCAAGTTTGCTATGATTCCTCTGCTGGAACTCATTTTGGTGTTCAAGTTTGTAGGTTAGTAGATTGAACGGAGATCTTGTAACCTTTTAAGAAATCGTTTCAGCGCTTGTACAGCGTTTTTTCGAAGAACAGTGGCTAAAAACCATAAATATAGATGTAAGGGTAATAACACTTGTGAGGTTTTATCCAGTGAGTTGTTTTCAGTTTTCGTTTTTCAAAAAATAATTTCAGCGGTCCGTAAAATGTGTAAATGCTGTCGTTATGCCAAATGCCTGGCGGTAGGAATGAGAAAAGAAGGTATCAATATTACAAGATCCCAATCATAGCTGTAATAATTCCAGGAGTACAAAAATTCCGCGATGTATATGGAAAACGAGAAGCCAAGTCTGTAGAATCAACTACTAAACCCCAATTCCCAATTCTGTATGAGCTTTTGAAAAACTATAATTATTTAGAGAGCATAAGACAAGTGATCCATAGAGATGAATCCAAGAGTGTCTTCATTAAAAAAGTGGCTCGTCCCCTAAACTATAAAGAATCAATTAGTGTGTTTTTGAAAGAATACAATTTGGTGGAGGACTGGATTCTCAACTCCTTCTCGATATTTTCAACGTTTCCCAAGGATCAAAAGGTAGGTGCAATTTCAAAATTTCCTTAACTCCTTCAGAATAAATAATAGAAAAAATGTTGTCCATCAAAAAATGTAGATCTATTCTTGCTCAAAAAACCTTAGGATTTTCAAAGCTTGTTTGAACACAATCGAAGTTTGATTCTACTAGAATGGGATAGTGGTGGACACATTTTTGATGGAAAATTTCTAGAAAACCACACAACCAAGCTGTACTATTACTATTTCAAACATTTTCTGGATTTATTTAAAGTATATTAGACCAAAAAAAGAAGCATTCCGAGTTTTTCCTGATCCACCCATACCGTTGGAAGTCGCGATTCCTAGATCGTTCATAACTTTGCTCATTGTACACCCTAGAAGCTGAAATTAGTCTCAAACATAATCATTTTCAGCCTTTTATCCATTTCCGTTGAAAAAACAAAGAAAATATCTAAACTCTCCAAAATCGTATTTTTCTCTGAAAACGCATTTCCTCTGTTTGCCTCTCCCCAGTTTCAAGGAAGAAAAGTGGGCGGAGTCTCCTTGCACACAAAGTATAGTGGCCGGCGCGAACCCGGGAAATGTCGGCTGCTTCGAGGCAGCGCGCGCTTGGCTCTATCTGTTGCGTTTATCAACAGTTTTGCAACAGAAAATAGAGGGAAATTGATGAAAATTAATAGCCTGGCAATTTGAAATACGGAGAATCCGAAAATCCACTTTTAAAAATGGAAAATTGTTGAAAAATACGGAAAATTTGGTATAAAAATAGTAATTTCAAAAATAAAATAAATTTTCAGACAGTACTGCTTCAAAACTTTTATCTCCAATTCGTTCTGCTCGAAGGAGGACATTTCGCATGTGAGAACAATAGAAGTGACATTACATATTTGCCATCTGGAGACTATATAGATTGCTCTAACCCAGAATCGTATTATCATGATCCAGATGGACTGCAACCAATTTCAGCAGAAGATGCGTCAAAGTGAGAAGAACATTTTCTGTTAAAAAACAAATTTTTGGTTTCAGAATGTTTTCTAGCTCATTCGATACGTATCGTAGAAATGTCACTCATCCGATGCAAAAGGATCATTTGGATCGATTTGAATTTCTCGCACTTTCCGCATTGACCCTTTTTGATACTGGACTTGAAGGCCAATCCGACTCAAGTATTGAAATATGTCGGACAATGAGAACATCTATTCAACGGGAACTTTTGGATTACTGTATGCTAAAAAGATCAGAGCTGGATTCGTCGATTCGTCTGGGCAATATGCTCTCGATTCTTCCGAATTTACAAGTGATTTCAGAAAAGTTAATTCTAAAAAAATGGGATATTTTCAGCGAGCCGCCAGAAGATTTCATGAAGACATGACACTGAGCAATGTGATGAATGCATATTCGGTGGATCAGAAGTTTTATGAACTTGGAAAGCTTTGAACTTTTACTTTCTTTTTAGAATGGTTTTTAGAATAAAAATCAAACTTCTCTGACTTTGCCCTCTTTACACTTCACAGAACCACTTTTCTTCTGTGTTTCTATCTAACACATGATGCGTAAAACTTTTCTCTACTTCTCTATTTCTCTCTTTCGAAAATTATCATCATGATCGATTGATGTTTGCATTGTTACATCATTCTTTTCCCCGCACTTTTGGAACAATGACCCTAACACCTTGTCCTGTTTGCCAGGCACCTTCCAATGGATTTCATTTTGGTGTTGAGGTTTGCAGGTAAAGCTATTTTTGAATTAAATTTCATTAGGTTTTCATTTCAGTGCATGCTCTGCATTCTTCCGTCGTACTGTGTTCAAAAATCGCAAGTTCCGATGTTGGGGAGATCCTGTGAATAGTTGTAAAGTGGTTTCAAGTACATTACTCCGCTTGAGAATATCAAGAAATTCAAAAGTTTTCAGCTGGATCTGCATTCTGTAAAAGTTGTAGATTCTCTAAATGCCTAGCTGTAGGAATGCAAAAAGAAATCGTTCAAAAAGGAAGAGAAGGATATGGAAAAAGAGAGAAAGATTCACAAGAACTAGCTCTAGTTCCTTCTTCGTCTCCAACTAACTTTAAGATGAATCGACAGGGACTTCCAATATTGGAAACCATTGTAGAATCTTACAAAACTCTGGAAAATGCGAGGAAATGTGTACATCAAGGACCACATGGCGGTGTTTTTCCAGTGAGTCAAATGTTGATTTTTTTTAAATGAAGTATTTTTTTTTCTCCAGAAAAGACCACCCAAGCCGGTAAACTACAAAGAAACGATTGCAGTATTTTTGAAGGAATACTATCTAGTTGGCGATTGGTTATCACATTGTTTTCCGGAGTTTGCAAATATGAAAATTGATCAGAAGGTAATTAAACACATGAATAGAAGACAACCCAAACATTTTGGGCACATATACCGTAAACTCTCTAATAGAGCGCCACCCGAATCGTCATTTTTGAGTGAGAGATATCAAAAAGTGGTTAACTAATAGAATGTTTGGGATATTATGATAAACATTTTATCAGTTGACAACTTTTAGATATATTTTAAAAGAAGTAAGATATGAAGGCTCAAAGTAGACGGTCCGGGTGGAATGCTATTAGAATGTTAGATGTTTAGAATGTTTATTAGAATGTTCATGGTATCTCGTTTCCCGTAAAAGATATCAAGAAGTGGTTAACTAGCAAAATAGTTGTGATATTATGGTAAACAATTTAACAGTTGACCACATTTTGATATCTTTTACAGGAATCGAGATATAGAGATATATGAGTTCAAAATTGGCGGTTTGCTGTCTTCTGGTATTGTTTTTAGTTTTTTTATGTACAATCTATTTTAAGGATCTCCTACATCGCAACTTCTACCTGCAGTTTGTGGTTTTGGAGGGTGGTTTTTTCTCCTGCAATCACAGTAAGCTTTTTCTCTTTACGAAACTCATGAATCTCCTTTTCAGAAAGAAGTGACATTCGATACTTGCCATCTGGCGACTATATAGACTGCGTCAATCCAGAAACCTACTACTACGATCCAGATGGACAACAACCAATGACACCAGATGAAGCAGTGACGTAGGAATTAGTCTAGGTTGACAATCGTATTTTTTATTTAATTTCAGAATGTTCGCCTCGTCGTTCCAGACCTATCGTCGGAATGTGACTCATCCTATGCTACGAGAAAATGCAGATCGATTTGAATTTTTAGCACTGACTGGGTTGGCTCTTTTCGATGCTGATTTGGAGTATATATCTGAAGAAACTGCGGCGGTATGCCGAAAAGTTAGAATGCGGATTCAAAAAGAAATGCTGAAATACTACATGTCCACGAAAGGTGCAGAAGAGGCATCGTTAAGATTAGGAAACTTGATTTCAATCATTCCAAGTCTTCATGTAAGTTCCACTAGAAGTACCGTAAAACCTGCAATAGAAGGGCTCCCCCCCTAACTTTTTACTTTGAGCCAATTTATCTCGGTTCCGGTCAAAGATATGAAAAGTGGCCAACTGATGAGTTGTTCATCATAATATCACAAACATTTTATCAGTTGACACACTTTTGATATCTTGCAGCAAAGAAAAATCAGCTCAAACTTGGCAATGTGGAGGCCCTTCTATTACAGGTTTAACGGTAGCAGACTAATAGTAAATACAAAAAAAACTTTCAGAGAGCAACCCGTCGATTCTTGGAGGATATCGAGTTGAGTCATGTGTTAAAAGCTTATTCGGTGGATGAGAAATTTTATGATAACTGTTTGCCGAAGTTTGGTCAACTTTGATTATTCTATCTAGTATCATTTTTCTAGATCTCTAATTTTGGCTTTATCGTTGAACTTATTGTCACTCAATCTGTATGAAATGAAGTATTTTGAATATTGACCCCTCCAAATATATTCACATCCAAACACAAATCCCACATGACATAAATACCCGACCGTTCTCTCCTGATGCGAATCTCACTGTCTCCGTAAATGACCTTGCTCTACAATACAAGAAGGCCTATCAACAGCTACCGTTCATCAACACTTTGTATCTCCTAAACGATGATGATTTCTTTATTGATTCTTGGATTAGCCTTATTTCAGACGGTAAGTGAATCTTACAACTAGCTCTCAAAAACCGAAAAAAATCAGATCAACGCGGCTGGCTTATTGGATATCCGTCTGAAAAGTGCTTACGATCAAAAAGCTACCGTAATCCTATCCGATGATGTCGACCCAATGTACCTTGTTCTTCCAATGGTGTTGGTTAAAAATCAAGAAGTGAAGTTTGAGGATCTTTTCATCGATTTTAACAAGACATACAAAGTTACTATCAAGTTGGATGAAACCGAATCACTGGGACTTAAGAATAGTGTGTACAGAGGAACGATTACACCAGCTCACGGAACATCGTCTCCGAAAAAGACGAATCTTCCATTGACAGGAATCCTGTTCACTTTCAAATGTGAAGAGTGAGTATACTTTTCGTTCAATGTAAAAATACCGTAAACACTCTAATTGAACGCTATCTGAATCGTCAAATTTGAGCTCATCTATCTCATTTTCTGTGAGAGATATCAAAAAGTTGTTAACTAATAAAATGGTGCTGATACCATGGTAAACATTTTATTAGTTAAGAGCTTTTCAATATCTTTTAAAAGAATTAAGATTTATAGGCTCAAAGTGGACGGTCCGTGTTGCGTCATATTAGCGTGTTTACGGTATTTAAGTTCAAGCCAATTTTTCTTGGTTCATGGGACAGCTATTGAAAATTGGTCAACTGATAAAATCTTACTGATATTATGATAAGTAATTTATCAGTTGCCAACTTTTTGATATCTTTCACAGAAACCGAGCTATTCTGGCTCAAAGTTAGCGTTTTTCAAGATGTCATTTCCCAGAAATTGGTCAGGCGAGAACTGTGATTGTAACCAGGGAGATTGCTCCAAAACCGAGGCAGATACCAATAAAGAAGTAGATTTCGATGTGGATTACACTGTAGACACTCAAAGACTTCAAACAATCATTGCCATGATGAAGAAGGAGAATGAAGTCAGCAACTCGCTTGAGAAGGAGGACAGATTGTTGGAAATGGTTATGGAGGCGTCTGGAGAGCAACTCAATTAATTAATCCTTCTTGTTTTGGTATATATTTTATTTGTGTTGTTATTTAACCTGCGAATAAAGAAAACAAGTTAACTATGTCACTAGATCACATGTTCCGAGAAGACCAAGACGCAAAAGTTTCCGTTTTTATTGATCAATTTTATCTTTCTTCTTCTGTTATCCAACCTAGTTTTTGTGTTATTCTGCCGTTCGCCAATCTTTTTGCGGGATCAACAATTTCTTCTTAAGGTCATCTTCGTTCGGAATCTCCTGTCCTTTTGTGGCATCGGAATCTCATATAGTTAGTATTCAGAAGACATGCGTGTCCTATTGGTACTACTACTTGTTTTATTCTCCAATGTGAGTTTAAGTTATAATTGAGCTCATCGTCTGACGAACGATAAGTTTAGGTCGCTTGCTCTGGATTTCTAGAAATCCGCTTGAAAAGCGAGTATCGTCTAGTGACGACCGTAGTCTTGAGCAAAGGAGACAACCCGACATACCTGGCTCTTCCAACTATATTGCAAGCTGGAAAAGTGAAAAAGCTCGGACCATTCCCGGTGGATTTCAATGAAAACTCTACGTTTATTATTTTGGGTGATCGAGTGGACCAACTTGGTGGGTTGTAGAATCTAGTGGAGGCTTGGCTTATTTCATCCCATCTTATTCCAGTCTAGCCGAATCTAATAATTTTTCATCTAGAATGGCTCAGCTGAACCTAGCTTCTTCCAGTTTAGCCAAACCTAATTAGTTTTGATCTACCTTAACTGAGCCTGCCGTAAAACCTTCAACAAAAGAACCCATACACCGTCAAGTTTGAGGTAATTTATCTTGCCTCCTATGCAAGATATCAAAAATATGTTAACTGATAAAATATTTAGAATATCATGTTTAACATTTTATTTCAAGTCTGCTTTCCAATGGGTTCCGATGGTCCGTCGATCTAGCAGTGATTCTCAAGTAAATTTTTTTAGGTATCAACTCATCTACTTACACATCTTATCTTTCACCTACTCGTGGAATCTTGTCACCAAAGCAACTTTATCTTCCTATCAACGGACTAGAGCTCATTTTTGAATGTGATGAGTGAGTCCGCTACCGTAAAGCCTGTAATATAAGCCTGTAATACACTTTAAGCTCGCTCAATTGTCTCGGCTTCTATAAAATATATCAAAAATGTGTCAACGGATAAAATGTTTATGATTTAGTACAAACAATTTATTATTTGGCACTTTTTCCATATCTATAACTTTGATCGAGATAAATTGGTTCAAAGGTAGGTCAAAATTCAAAGTTTGCAGAAACTGGACTGGTACTAAATGTGATGTTAGATGTTCTGAAAGCTGTGATTCTTCAAAGGAACAAGAGCGAAATGAGATGATCATAACCACAGAATATTCCATTGATACCACTAAACTACCAGAGATTGTGAAACGATTGAAACAGACGACAAGAGTGGATAATGAGATTCTGAAGGAGCTGGAGAAGCCTCGGACGAAAGACGTTCTTGGAACACCACCGCCGAAAAGGGATTCTCCAAAATCGTTGATTCTTGACCTGTTCAAGGGCATTTTTGATCACAGCTTTGCCAAAGAAGCATCTTCTACAGATGATATACCCATTTTCATGAGCATTGGAAGGGATGATGATGGACCATCGTCTTTCGAACCACTTTCCAACCCAATCTCAATGTTTTCAAAGATGATAATGAAGAAGCATGAGTCAAAGGGATCCTTGTCAAAAGAAATCGAGAGACACTCCAACGTTCAGAAGTCATTAGGATTTCGGCATCAGAAGCCATCACGATTCGACAGTTGGGAAGGTCCAAGGGAAGGAATGGGAGCCATGCCGTTGTTTGGACAACTGATGGTAAGATTTGCACGACATCGCGAACAGGAAAAAAATTGATTGCGTCAAGAAGGCGTCAAAAGGCTCCGCCCACTTTAAATTCATATCTTTGACACGCGACGCACGACCGCGACGCGACTGAAAGTGGGCGGAGCCTAGTCGTGTTTGGGCTCGTTTTGAAGCAGACAACATGACACAGCTGATCGTAATGTTTAAAATACACAAAACACGGCAGATTTCTAGAAAAAAGTGAAAACACTTTTAATTGTATGCGCCTTTAATACCCCATCTCATGAGATATATATATATATATATATATATATATATATATTTTCCTAATTTTTCTCCTTTTTTTGCCTTATTGAAAATTCTTTAACACAGCCAAAAATGGGCAAAATTAAATAATTTGGAAGTACGGTATTAAAGGCGCATGCACATTTTCGAAAAAAGTAGATTTCGTTTTTAGCTTTTCTCGAAAATCTGAAGTCCTTGTGTATTTTGAACAGTGCCACCACCTTTGTCTTGTTTTCTGCTCCAAAACGAGCTCAAACACGACTAGGCTCCGCCCACTTTAATTTTTCAGTCGCGTCGCGGTCGTGCGTCGCGAGCCAAAGATATGAATTTAAAGTGCCCATGGGCGATCTCAGAAAATGTTACTGCTTTCGCTTTAAGGCTGCCGATGTGCCTTTAAACTGGATTTTCCGCCGCATATTATGTTTTCAGAGCATAATGCCACGAATGGGAAGAAGCGTTGCTGCTGAAAAAGAAGGTTCTGAAGCTCTAGAACTTGCACTGGATCAAGTGATCAGAACATAATTTTTATTTGATTGAGAAAAGAATAATAAAATCGATAATTTAAAAATATGTCATTTTTTATAAATCCATCATACAGTCATCATAACCATCGGTGAACATATTTGACTACTTAACAATTCGATATCAGACTCCGCACTTCCGCAGCTGAAAAAATAAAAAAGTGCATAGTCAATTGATTAAAACAAGAAAAAATTTATTGTGAGATCTCAAAACAGACAGTCTACATATGTGATGGTAAATGAACAAGGTAGAAGAGGAAAAAAGAGTTAGAATCAAGAAAAGGAAGAAATGTGTACTCGTAGGTGTCTCAAAACAAAAGAGCAAGTGAGGTGGGGAATAAATTAACAAATCTTCATATGGAGGTAGTTATGGTTTATCACAGGCTTATAATACCTCAAGACTAGAAACAAATAAGAAATAGAAATGTACAAAAACTTTGGCTAGAAGACTTAACCGGATTGCAATAAAGAAAAAAGAAACAAAAATTTCAGACAGTAGGCTACTCACGATAGTAGAACATCCCTAACAAGTGGATCAAACTTCATCAAATCGAATACATCCGAGACACGTGTCTGATTATAAAGCGCATTGATAGAGCATCTGATAGAACTTGTGAGCAGAATGATAGTTCCGAAACGTTCGGCTGCAGCGTCAGGGTGTTTCCTCTGTGCATACTCCATCATCTCAATCATACATCTATTGGATAACTCGCGAATCGCTTGAGAATGCTCCTTGAAGATTCCTTGTTCTGAAAATTTTGCTTCTTTTTTTTAAGTTCTAAAAAAGTGGAAAAACGTACGAGTCAATAGCAGAATGGTTTTGAGAACCGCACACTCGTACTCGTCGATTTGCAGCGCTCGAAACGGATAACCGACACAGTTGAGACTTTCATTGACAAATAGAGGATGAAGTCTGAAAAATAGCAGTTACTGGATAGATTTTCCTCTACAAGACTGAAAACTTCAGAAAATTAGCGGTTTTTGGAAAGAGGAAAATACTGTTTTCTTTGCTTTTCGCAACATTTTTAGACCTTTTCAGAGTTTTCGGCTATTTTCAAAGCTTCTTTTTTGATTTTTCCGAACTTTTTGTCTGAACTTTGATGTTCGCGAAATTACTGTAGGTTATTGTAGAAAACATATTTCCATGTGTAGTTATTTTTGCAAACTTTCTTGTCTGCATTTTGACGTGATTGTGTTTGCAAAAAAGAACTAAAGAAGGAAATAACAGTAATCTACAGTAACCTTCGCGAACATCATTCCGTTCAATTTTAGACATAAAAACAGGCAAAATCGAAAAAGAACCAACAAAAATAGCTGAAAACCCCGATGGGGTTATTCATGTAGCGAAAATATGTATTGAAATGCATTTCCGCGCCCTCGAAATTCAATGCATGAGCGTCGCGAAATGTATTTCAAAGCATTTCGCGACATAACTGTAAATGCATTTCAATACATCGCGTGGCGAGATATTTTTTTTGGAAAAAGGTA